GAAATTTTGTCCCGATGCAACGTGGTATTTGATTTTGTATAATACTGTGCAATCTTGTACAATTTATTTCTACCATGTGTAACATTGTTTTTATAATGTATTTTTTTTTACTGGTCATTGACTGTAATACATTTCATTCATTATATGTTGTTATTGACATAATCAATAAAAACAGACCAATCCTCAATGAATGTATGTGTCTTTTTTTGGTCCGGATCTGGTCTTGAAGGAATAAGAAAGTTTTTCCAACAACCATGTGTCCCAGACCTTTTACCACCAGTTTTCAAGTAACAAATTCTCCATCTTCCAGCATCTCACAATTTCAGTTCTAGCTGCAGAGATTAAGAATATGATGAATTTTTGGGGTTTTAGATTACTATTAGCTTTGCTGAAGATTGATAACAATAATAAGGCCAGATAACATTTCATTGGTTGTTTTATAATATCAGATATCTACATCAATATTGCATTCCAAAAAGCATTGATCCTAGGACATTTGAGCCACATGTGTGTGTAAGATAGAACCTTGAACCTTACAGCCTCTCCAACTGTATGGTGAAACATTTTTTCAATATCTTTAAGAGTTTCACAGGGGTTACTGTATATACTCATGGATAAGTCTAGAAATTTTGGTCAAAAAATTGACCCCAAAAACCTGCATTAACCTATCCACGGGGTAATGTAAGTACTGTACTTTAAATAATAAAAATGAACCATTTTTGGTGAAAGAGAAAAGTGTCATCTGTCCTGGAAGCACTGACCTCCCCTCTACCCTTTTATCCATCCAGATTTTAGGGTGGGCATGGACAGTTATGCCTGCTGGATTTTTTTTTCCTTTGGCATTGTTTTCCTTTGTTTCATCCTTTACATTCTTTGTTACATGCCTCTTAAGTCTTACTCTCAACGTATCCATGGGTCATATCAAAATCCATAATTTTGTCTCCAAAGCCTGCCTTCGTCTTATACATGAGGTCAACTTATAGTCGAGTATATACCGTAAATATCATTTGTATGCTGCTTTTAAAGAACTCTCCTTTGCAGCTGCCAATCTTGATTTATATATAGAGGAGGACCAGATGCTTGCCCAGATTTCCTCTGATATATCCATATTTAAAACTAACTGCCAGGTTATTCTGGCAGAATAATTTTTACCATAAGTAGACTGTATTAGGCTTTTGTATATAGTGGCTGCTCCTCCCTTGGATTGTCCCTTATCTATACAAATGGTTTCATAAAAAGTTGGGCTTCTAGAACTATAGCCTTTTAGCAGGATGTGGCATGCAAAGGAGAAGACTTGCAATATTTTGAGCCAAGTGGGATTGATTGGCTTATCTCAAGGCATTGAACAAATTATCAGGAGATCTCTCTCAGCTTTCCCACATCAAATAAATCCATTATTTTATATATTCCACATTTTTTCCAATTTCTGAAGCAGGCTAATCTATCTATCTCATAAA